ACACACAGGCAAGTGTCACATAGTTTTCTGCTGAGATAGAAGCTACAGTGAGTATCACTGCCTGTGGACACCGGAAGGGTGCTGGGAGCCTGGTGGCAGCTCCTTCTGAGCTATCAGGAGCATCCACGGAACTTACGTGCCTCTTCCACTTGTTAGACAGAACATGCTAGGAATAAGTTAAGGTCTGGCAAGAGATGCCAGAAATATTCATGTCTAGAGTGGCAAAGTAGAGATGTGCATTAAGTCAAACTGCTCTGAACAAGGAGTAGTCAGAAGCAGGGCAGAGCATCACCAGAAAACAGGCCTTTCTCAGGAAAGAGTGGTTGGAAAAAAATGGAACCAACCTGTCCAGAGACAACTGAGACGCCTTCGAGAAACCAGTCACTACTCAAAAAGGCTCTCATATGTCCCTATCCCCAAATTCATTCTGCTGATCAGAGAGAAAAGGCTGAAGGATACATACGGCTTCTGACTGAGATGAGTACAGTAGGTTCTTGAAAGCTTTGTTGCCTGCCCGCAGCAGCGACCACACAGAACACGTCCGTTCCTGAGTATGCTTTTCCCCTCTCTCCTTGGCATTGTTGCACAGGAATGTTCCAAAGAGGCAGGAATAGGTATGTTGCACCAGTTTCACCTATAGGAGTCCAAAGAGGAAAAATCTAGCTAGGGGTATGCATTTTCTGGGGGAAGGTCAGCCCAGCTGGGCGACCTTCCCTAACATCCCTGATGTGCACTTCAGTCCACACTCAGGAAGGACGGGGGAACCAGTAAGCCACGCAATCACTGTCTCCTCACAACCACAACCACCGTCACTCCCAAGTCAAAAGAGCAAAGATGGGGACCTTGGCACCCCCAATCCTCTTGGCCTTCCTGGTAAACAGTCTCTGAGGTCCTAAGTTAGCAGTCGCCCTCAAGAGCAACAGCATATAAACTGGGCACAGGAGAAGGCCAGTGTGGAATCTGGGTCTGAACGGAGAACACGCATCTAGACCTGTCATTGAGCACATCGCTGCTGGGCATCTCACATACCCCAAACGGCTCCACAGGTGCTGGGTGGGCAACAGTAAGATGACAGCCCTCCTGCCCTGGAGGAGCTTGCTCTAGGTGTGGGGAGAGGTGGCCAGTGCCACGGACAACAATAAGGCAGGGGAACAGAGCCAGAGCACATGCAAGGTGGTGTGACGAGGCCTCATGGGCGAAGCCTGACGGAAGTGAGAGAACAGGTCACACAGGCACCTGGTGGAGGGGCTGCTCCACACAGAGGCAACCACCAGCACAATGGTCTTGCTGTGAGGTGAGCATGTGCTTGCGATTTGTGAGGAACTAAAGGAGGCCGCTGTGGCTGAAGGACACTGCATGAGGTGGACGATGGCAGAAAATGAGCCCAAACAGGTAAACTCTAGGAGAGCCCTGCAGGCCATTTTAAGGACTGTGACTTATTCTCTGTATGAAATGGAAAGTCACTGGAGATTTCTCGGCAGAGGAATGACATGGTCTGTAGTATGTTTTAGAAGGATCCCTCAGGCTGCTGGATTGACTCCCTGGAATTGAAGCAGGGGAAGACAGTGGTTTGGACTGACCAGTGTGGGAATAGCAGAGGTAGCAACATGTAATCAGGTTTTGGATATATTCTGAAAGCAGAGCTACAGAATCTGCTAACAGAGTGAATGTGAAATATGAAAGGAAGGAGAGCTGAGGATGACATAAAAGTTTTTGCCCTAAATAAATCGAATGACTGAGCTGCCATTTGGTGAGATGGAAGACGTCTGGAAGATCAGGTTTGAGGGGGAGGGATGTGGAAATCAAGAACTAGGTTTTGAACAAGTTAAGACAAATACCATTAAGACATTCAAGGGGAGACACTGAGTAGTTACAAATGGATATGAGAGTCTGGGGTTGAGTGGAGAGGTCTGAGCTGAAGCTGTATACAGATAACAGTCAACGGACTAGATGAAACCCTAGAGAAGGAGGGTAGATAGAGGAGCAGCCTGCAGGCTGAGCTCTAGGGGAGGAACATTCAGAACTGGGGAGGTAAGGAGGGAGCAGCCAAGGAGACAGAAAAAGACTAACTGGTGAGGTAGAGGGGAACTAAGAGTACGTGCTGGAAGTCAACTGAAGAAAGTGTTTCAAGAAAAGAATGATTAAATCGTGCCAAATATTAATGATGGATCAAAGAAGTGAAAACAGTCAAAAGGTACAAACTTCTAGTTATAAAATACGTAAGTCAGGGGGATTCAATGCATAGCATGGTGACTACAGGTTAGTAATACTGTACTGTATCTTATAAAGTTGCCAAGAGAGTACGTCTTAAAAGTTCTCATCACAAGAAAAAAACTTTGTAACTATGTATGGTAACAGATGTTAACTAGGTTTTGTGGTTATCTTTTAGCAATTGAGACAAACCTTGTGTATAAATCACATTGTGATTTATATTTATATCAATGTGTTGTATGCCTGAAATAAAATGTTATATATCAATTATACTGCAATTTTAAAAATAGATGATTGAGAACTGATTGGTGGATTAGCAACATGAAAGTCACTGGTGACCTTAACTAGAGCAGCTCTGGTAAAGTGGTGGGTTAAAAGAGAATGGGAGGGAAGAATTTGAGACAGTAAATGGAGAAGACTTGAAGAGCTCTGCTGTGAAGAAATGAGATGCAAGAAATGAGTTAATACCTGGAGGGGGATGCAGGACCCAGAAAGGGCTTTGATGAAACAGGAGGCACTACACCACGCTTGTATGCCGATGGCAGTTATCTGGTAAAGAAGGAAACTCACTAATACAGAAAGCAGGGAAGAGAAATGCTGGAGCCATGAAGCTGAGCAGAGGAGAAGGGGGTAGAAGCTGGTGCACAAGTGGAGGCCCTCGATGGGCTGGAAGAGGGAAGGATAGTGCATCCTCCTTTAAAGGAGAGGGAGCGGAGAGCATGAAACAAACACAGAGTTTGGTAGATGGACTGGAGGAAGCAGATGACAGTGTATTGTTTCTATTTCTAACCACTATTTTGTGCTTCTATCATCCATTTTAAAAGTTTAAGTTTAAAATAGCTCTTAGACTTTATGCAAACTTAGTATACCTGGATTCACTAAATACCTGTTTATTGCTCTTGTTTTTTTGATTTAAAAAAATGGAAACTTGCCCCCTCAATTAAATTCCAGAAAGAATGTAGTTTGATGTGAAAACTGGCCCACTAACATTTGCACTGATACCCCTATGAATTTAGAAGGTCCCCAAAACAAAGAATCACAAGACCAAACTCACAAGGAATGCTTCATTGAACTCAAAAGAGCAAGGAAATTGCCTCTGAAGCTGATGAACACAGTCAAGCCACTGCAGAAACACTGGGCAACGCTCGTTCAGATCATCCGAGTTCTCCCCATGACCACATCGGTCAGCAAACTTGTGGCCAAAATCCAGCCACTCCATCTCCACGAGGACCTGGAAACCCTGCAGGGAAGCACCCAGGAGAGATGGTTTGTGTTGGTCTATCCAAACTATAACTGTCCTAAACCTGATGTCACCACAGTGATCCCTTTTAACAGCCTTCCACTAAGCCCATCAGAAGCCCCTAACCCAGCCGCATGGCCAAAGGCTCCACCCATGATGGGAGACGTGCTTAGGGGAATTTCCCAATGCCCTCAACTCCATTCCATAATCAAAAATCTAAGCATCTATTTACCTGAGCCTCTGTTGAGACTATTTATATCTTTAGCCTTTCATTGACTATAAAAAGTCACAATTTTTCCTCGTTTCTTTTTTATTTTTTAATTTCTGTCTTTAGTGTTAGACTTTAAGTCATGTTTGTAAAATCTTTCCCCAATCCAGATTTACATCTGTTTTAGGGTACCTTATGGTTTTTCTTCTATCTTTAACCCAATAGGTGGTTATTTCAGAATAAGTGGTGATACTGAGACCAATTACCATAATAAGCATATATATAATCAAGATCTTTCTGTAGAAGCCCCACTTTCCTGGGGGAGCCAAAACTTTTCCAAGTAGATAGACTGCAAAGGAAAACATGTTTGTATTCTCAGTACCTTCTTATCCACTCTTACCAATGTTAAGAGGCATTAAGAACTGTGGTAGGTACCACCACAATTGGACCTAACCACCTCAACCCAAACTGATCCTAAAACCCTCCAAGGCTTCCTCCACTCCTCCTAAAGTACCAAATCCAACTCTTTGGATTCACCTACCTCTATAGTTCGGTAATAAGGGTCCAGCAAGAGCTTAGCCAATGCCACAATCTGGGGGGTGCGGTCCCAGCCATCTGAACAGTGCACTAGCACCGGTCGCTGATCACGATCCACAGCATGCACGACCAAAAGTGCCGACTTCAAAAGCACAGAGAGGTGATGGAGCCATTTTGTGCTTTCGAGAGCTGAGAGCCAACTACAAAAATAAAACAGAAGGGGATAAGGAAATGCTGGTTTTTGTAATATACTGGGTCGTTCCCTAAGACTTTGCCCTCCAAATAAAACACTGCCAAAACAGAAAATCTGTCTTTATAAAGCAAGTACAAGGATGAGACCCAAGCCCTACTATGCAAGAGGAGAGCCTTAGAGATAGGACATTAATGGGGCTTTTTGTTCCAAAAATTTTATAGCTAATTTCCCAGAAAAAATTAATATTTAATATTTTTCAGTCCACAATAGGTGTATCTACCCAGTTTAAGAAAAGTAGTTCTTTCTGGAATCTTCTGAAAAAAATGCAGCCATTTCTGAGATGGAAAAAAGAAGGTATTTATATTTAATGATCAGCAACTCTGACCAACAATTTCCCAAAAAAAAAAAAAAAAGGTAAAGAAAACTCAAAATACATCTTTAACAAGATAAAAGCTGGATGCCAGAACCAAAAACAGTGCAAGCTACATCACCTACGACCCACACCCCAACAACTACCTCTCCTCAAGTCTTGAATGTCTATGGATTAAAACTAGATGGGCCCAAACTAATGATTTAGACTCACACAAATTAGTACACCAATGGCTACACAGTATTACTGGGCTTAATGAAGACTGGATTCAGCAGGGATCTAGAAGAACCTTTTTCAAAAGGCCTTTGGGAAGTATCAGAGCCCAAGAACTGCCCCTGGGAGTCATCCACAATTTGATCACAGCTAGTCGTTTTAACTGTGCTGACATTTTGTTTCTTGTGCCCTGTCACGAATTCTACTCCCCATTCCCACGAAAAGCTCCAATTTCTCCAAAATGCAATCAGATTTGTAGTTAAGACCGTCTAGCCCTTGAAACACCGAGTTAGAGAAGGGAATAAATACTTCTGTCAGGGAACTCCTGAGAAGGCTTTTGCTAAGACTAGGCTATAAAGGCCTATTAAACCTCAGGGAATGAGCATGAATTTTTGGAATAGTCCAAAGAGGGGGTCTTTCCAGGCAAACAGATAACAGAATGTAGTACATAAGCATGGGCTTCACATGGATTACCTTGTTCTACCAACCAGACTCATTCCTCAGAGGGTACAGTGCCTAACCTAAACTGAAGGTTCCTACTGTTTAAATCATGGATAAAATTCTATAGCAAGACTTTCTATTTCCTACTAGATACCTCAGAAAATTTTTTTGCTGGTGGATCAATTGTTTACTCACTCCTCACGCAGTCTTTGAAAACACT